CGATAAGTGTCCAAGATCATAGATATATATTTGATATGGCAAAGATAAGTTTGAGTCTTTCACAAATCCTTTCAGATTGATGGAGCGATCAATTGGAAATACACGGTGTACCGAAATCCATCGATTCCTTTCAAGTTAATCAATAAATAACTTTTTCTTTAAGGGCAATTTGATGGATTTTCGGAGGTCGTTCGGAGATTGGCATTTTTATAACAATCAACAAATAATTCTGCGTTGAACCAAGTCAAAAGACAGTCACGAGTGTCTTCATCTATCTTCACAAATTTTTCAGTGAAAAATTGGTAACAATAGTTGAAAAGTTCTTCTCCAGCGCTTTTCCAACTCCGAGAACTTTTGGAAAGATCAGTATATTTAGCTTGAAGAGTCGGAAGTCGTCTTCAAAGTTAAAATTTTGAAAATCTTCTTTTGAAATGCGAAGATGTTTCAGAAAAACAAGCTTCATATTTTTTCGTAATATTGCTAAACTTGTTAACTTGTTAACTATTTTTGGAAGAAAGATTTCGGCAGAAAGAAAATGCTCCAGATCTATTCCTTCTTTGTTCTCCAGATTCATCAAAATTATTTTATGCGGCGATAGAGATAGAGACAAATGGCGCAAATAGTTTGATAGGCTAAGTCAGGGTGAGTGAAGGTCCATAAACGAGTGTTCTATTATAGTTTCTCTTGTAACAATATTTATAACCTTACAAAACTTCTCACCTCGAGGACTGTTCTTGCCGTAGAATCGTGTGCCGTAGAAGTTTCCCGCATCCAAGTTGGAATCGGATCATTGTCCTTTGCATTCGCAGACGCTCGTGCAGTTTTGGTCTCAAATTTGATGTTTAGTGTTTGTTCAAAACATGTCCTCAATACAAAGAAACAAATTCCGTCTTCGATTCCAAACTTGATCCCTTTTTAACCGAATATCAAGTAGAACAAAATGATCAAGTAGAATAACATCATCAGAACAAAAAGAACAACATCATCAAGTGAAACAACATCATCAGAACAAAAAGAACAATATCATCAAGTAGAATAACATCATCAGAACAAAAAGAACAACATCATCAAGTGAAACAACATCATCAGAACAAAAAGAACAAGATCATCAAGTAGAATAACATCATCAGAACAAAAAGAACAAGATGATCAAGTAGAACAACATCATCAGAACAAAAAGAACAAGATGATCAAGTAGAATAACATCATCAGAACAAAAAGAACAATATCATCAAGTAGAACAACATCTTGCAGTGTTGAGAACATGTCAATAAAGGTTTGTATAGGAAAAGAAAGAATTTCTGCTATGAAGCATTTTTGTGATCAAATGGACATCTCATAAAACTTTCACGACAATTCAGATTCTAATGGATTCTCCACATATAATATTCGTAAAATTCAGCCATCCCACCAAAAATGCTAGCCTTTATGCACCATAATCACAGATGTTTTGTGTACTGCTTTTGTGTTTTCGGTAAAGTTAATCATTTATTCATTTCACTGCTCATTTTCTTCCAAATCGGAGGAAATTTGGATCCTGAAATGAATTGTTTGTGATGTTTGCCATCAATTTTCAAAATTGCATCACTTCACATCAATCAAAATGCATAATGCATCAATGAAACATCATTTTGAGCCATTTCGCATACTATTTTTTATCCCAAAAACGCAAAACTCACTCCTGGTTGCTGGGTTTGTCTAAAAAAAATGAATGAGTTACAAATGAGAAGTTTATTTACCTTTGCGCCACGATGAACTCGATTGGTTCACTGAAAACGATATTGATTTCAGTGTATTGATATTGATTTATAAGATTTCAAGCAATACATCAAAAATTTACAAGTAGAATTTGTAAATTTTTGATTTAGATTGTGAATTCGGTTTCCTCTCAAGAAAGAAATATTCGATAAACTACCGTATTTTCTCAGATAGTAGTGCACCCCGGCGAGCCGAGTTGATGACGATTTTACGGTTTCCAAGCTTTTGCAGAAGCTCAACACTCTTATCATCGTAAAGATCTCATCGTCAGCTACATTTTCCGACCCCACATCGATAGGTTCTGATAAGCGGTTCTCGAGATTTCGAGCAATTTAGGCAGCTCAGGGCGCACCACTATTAGAGAGAATACGGTAATTTGCTTACAGTAACAATTATAGCCGTCGCAGCCGATAGGAGTCTTGTCTTCTAGTCGGGGAGTTAAGGGTTAAATCCCGGCGGATAGAGAAAGATTGGTTCTTTTCCCGTTATTATGGATTTTTCTTAACAACATTTGGACAATAGGGGTAATTAGGGCTAAAAATTTTCTCCGTTATGTTGCAAGTCATCATTCGTGTCGAATAAATATACTTTTAAACAAAATTTGAGCGACTCTTAGCAAACCTTTCAATGTCCTCTTCTGTCATTTCGGCATTTACCATCAAAAGAAAAGTGAATAAAACAAAAAGCATTCTCAGATGGAATAACATTGAATTGAGAATTTTGGTGAATTGAGAAATCGGTAGTGTGTATCAAAGCAAATGTAGCAATGTAGCAAATGTAGCAAATGTAGCAAAGCTTTAGATCGAAAATGAAGTAATGCTTGATGAAGAGAACTGATGGACAACCGGGAACTAATGAAAATTTCATGAAAATTATAATGGGTTTTTCGTGCAAATTACTTAAGCATGTTATTTATCCGAAAAAAAAGTGTTATCGTTATATTTATTTATCAAAAAGTAAGTTTGTGATCTATTAGAAAAGAGCAAAAAAAGGTTTGGTATATTTGGCTGATGCATAAGTCTTTACGTTCATTTTTGTACTTTCGTTAAAAACCAACAAATCCATCAACATCATCAACAACAAACTAAGGTTTGTTTCATTAGAAAGGTCAATTATTTTTCTGCAAAATAACATTAAAACTAGTTTACCAATGTCTTATGTCTGGATTTTTTTTGGAAGCCTGAAGTCAGGTAGTCAAAGACTCAAGCTCAATAATGCAATTTAGACAGTTTAGCTAAAGGAAGCCTATCTTTGTATCGATACAGATTGACCAGAAAATACGCCAAATTTTTTCCAGCACCGAAAAATGTAAGCACAAGCTAGTTGTAAACAATTTTTTTCTAAAATTTCAAAAAGAAACAACTTTCTATTAACCCATTCGAAACTTCTGCAGCGAATAATCGCTGCAACAAGAACTCAGGAACGGACCGCTGCAGCGCTAATTGAGCTATTTTCATTCAATTAATTGGTTTTTTTTTTGCTGTTTTTCAGCATTACATGTATTCCAATTGTAGCAGATCTACAAATTACGTGGGCAAAAAAGACGTGTCATATTTACCCGGAATCAATGCAGCCTCTGGTTTTGCATTGAAATGTTCTATAATAGCTCTAATCTTATAAAGCCGATCCAGTTCATTATCACAAAAACGCAGGTTTCGAAGAATAGATTTTGCTCTTGACATAATGTGGGACATGTGCGAAAATCCTCCTAATCCAGGCCTGCTACTCCAGTAGTCACGAATCCTCGATAAACTGACGATTCCCATTTGAAGATACAGAGCCAGGAAGAGCTTGAAAGATTTTGCATCGAAATCCTGCCAGTTTGTTTTCCTTTTTCCATGTTTATTAGATTCGCCTACTAAAATATTGTCGTCGATAAAATAAGAACAATAATCGATAGGATCTTGAAAAGTACTGAAGTCAAATCCAAGTCGTTTTTTATCAAAAATAAATGGTGTAGGAGACTCTCTTACATCTTTCCAACCATAAATAAACTGCTTCGAGTCAAAAATGTCAAAAGGGCTTGGTCCGTAGACGAAAAAAGAAAAAAACGCTGCGGTTTCGAATGGGTTAATAAAAAACATATCAAATGAAAATCGAACTTTAAATTTAGATGAACGTGCGAATTTCGGTGAATCCTGAAGGATAAATGTGGCAAGGGATTGGAATCACAAAAAATAGACATAGAAGATGATAAAGAATGCAACAAAGTTGAAGTTCACAAAGTTCACAGCACATAACTCTCATTCTTCTGTGATAAAATACAAATGCTCAACCTTTGCTTTGTCCATGCTTCTTCCCTCGAACCTCATCTTTTCCATTTTTCTTTTTCAAAATCGATTGCCAGTTTCTTTTGCTTTTAAAATGAATCACTTTGCGTTTTTTTGGTAATCCTTTATTTCTTAGCATAATTTACAGCTTACAACAGCCACATTAAACGAGCCGACTCCCATAAGAGTGACACCAGATGTATTGTAGATTCCCTCAGCCGGCACTGTTGTCCATCCAGATGGTAAAACATACAAAGAACCGCCCAACGAATCGAAGTTATAATGATCGGTTATTGTGAGCTGAAGATGAATCATTTAGAATCCTTTAAAGAAGATGAATCATTTAGAATCCTTTAAAGAAGATGAATCATTTAGAATCCTTTAAAGAAGATGAATCATTTAGAATCATTTGAAGAAGATGAATCATTTAGAATCATTTAAAGAAGATGAATCATTTAGCCTTCAAATTACCCCATTCAATTGCATCGAGAAAACAGCTCCAGCGCACACCGGTTGTTTGGCCGAATTTTTGAAGGTCAAAATGTACTGATTGTATATATTAGCACCATTGTTTCCACTCCACGAGTTGGCCAAAACTAGTGTGAGAGTGAGGTATGGACAGGAATTGGATATTGTGGTCGTTGTCGTCGACTAAAATTGATTATTAGCTGAAAGTACAGGAAGAAATTCAAAAAAGTAACATAGATTTTTGAGATCATTGCTAGGTTGATGCAACCAAAATTACCGTTTTTACAAACATTAAATTCAATTAAAATTCCTTTAGGTAAAAATTTATTCCAAACAATCCCGGATTGCGGATCCCCTTATTGAAGAAATCTCGATTCTGTGATTGAAAGTAGTCGGTCATCCAAATCTCAACCTCTTACGCATTCTTAAACTGGTAATTTGCAAGGAAATGTTGCATTGATCTGAATAGGTGAAAATCAGATGGTGATAAGTCTGGACTGTATGGCGCATGCGGTAAGACCATCCATCCTAATTCCTCTAACTCCAGACAAGAAACTTTCGCTGTGTAAGTTGGCGCGTCACGGAGAAAATTGACAGTTGAGGGATTTAAATCCTTTTAACGCAAAATTTGGTCAATCTTCTTGAGCTGTTGAATAAAACAAGATGAATCAACTGTTTTTCCGGGCTCTACTAATTCGAAATAAACAAGCCCGTTGATATTTGATCAACAAAACAACATCACTTTGTGCCCATGATAATTCGGCTTTGGAATTGAATTAAAATTTGACTCCTGCTGCTTCATTGCTTTTTTGTTATCGAAGTGAATCCACTTTTCACCCATTGTCAAGATTTTCTCAAAAATATGGCTTCTTTTCGACTTCAGAGGCAAGATATGGCTGATCGAAACGCGTGCACCCAGATCTCGGTACTCAATTGATGTGGAACCCATCGTTCATTACGATTGCTTTTTCCGATTATTTCCAAATGGCGGACAATTGCTGATTGATCACATTGGAGTTGTTTGGCAAGCTCTCGTGTCGTTTACATCGGCTTCAATAAGTTGTTCCAATTCATTATTATCGATCGCTGCCGAGCGATGCCCATGTGGTTCCTCTTCAAGACATTCAATACCTTCTCGGAATTGAGTAAACCAGAGCTGGCAGAAGCTTTCGGTCATAACTTGTTCTCCAAAAGCGGAATAGAGATCACGACGCGATTCGGCAACTTGAAGAGAAGACACGCGCGCACAACATACTTTTGACCCACCATGATCTAAAGCAAATATCAATTAAAAAGTGAAAGCTCTGACTTCGAAAAGTGTCAAAAGAGTAAATATCCAAAAGAAAATCAAATAAGCTTTCCGGATTAAAAAAATCGAACATTTTATACCGCCCGAAATTTCATTTGTATCAACCTAGTACATCGACAATCCTTCACGAACTTACGGTTGTTGTTGTTGTGGTGGTCGTAGTAGTAGTTGTTGTTGTTGTCGTTGTGGTGGTGGTAGTGGTGGTGGTAGTGGTAGTGGTCGTCGTCGTTGTTGTCGTCGTCGTTGTTGTCGTCGTCGTAGTTGTTGTTGTCGTAGTAGTAGTGGTTGTTGTCGTCGTGGTTGTAGTAGTAGTAGTAGTAGTAGTAGTAGTAGTAGCTGTTGTTGTTGTTGTTGTTGTTGTTGTTGTTGTTGTGGTCGTCGTCGTAGTAGTAGTTGTTGTTGTTGTCGTTGTGGTTGTGGTGGTGGTCGTCGTCGTCGTAGTGGTAGTCGTGGTTGTAGTAGTAGTAGTGGTTGTTGTTGTCGTCGTCGTTGTCGTCGTCGTTGTGGTCGTCGTAGTAGTGGTTGTTGTCGTTGTGGTCGTCGTGGTTGTAGTAGTATTGGCTGTTGTTGTCGTCGTTGTTGTTGTCGTCGTTGTTGTTGTCGTCGTTGTTGTCGTCGTCGTAGTTGTTGTTGTCGTCGTTGTGGTTGTCGTTGTCGTAGTAGTAGTTGTTGTTGTAGTGGTCGTCGTCGTCGTTGTCGTCGTCGTAGTGGTGGTCGTGGTTGTTGTAGTAGTTGTAGTCGTCGTCGTAGTGGTCGTCGTTGTTGTTGTCGTCGTTGTTGTTGTCGTAGTAGTAGTAGTAGTTGTTGTTGTGGTGATCGTCGTCGTCGTAGTCGTCGTCGTAGTGGTGGTCGTGGTTGTTGTAGTAGTTGTAGTCGTCGTGGTAGTGTTCGTGGTTGTCGTTATCTGTAAAGAGGCCATGCATTTCGAGTTCAAAAGGGCTCCTTCGGAGACTAACCGTAGGGGTCGTTCTCGTCGTTGTTGTAGTGGTGGTCGTGGTGGTTGTTGTCGTTGAAGTCAAACCCGCCTGGAAATTATAAATGACAATTAAATATATTTCTGTGTAAAATGTAGAAACTAAACAAAGAAAAGTGAACGTTCAGCCCACCTGATTCATGAATTGTTGAACAATTTCTAAATTACAGATTCAGCTAACATTTAACTAATCATTTTTACCGCCTTCAACACAAAACACTCTTCGGGTGTAAATTCTCTCTCGTTTGAATGTAAATGTTTTCCATTTATGTCTGCAAGTTCACAAATCAAATTTAGTGCTCCAACACTCTCACTTCCTCTCCTCGCACGCCAACACATGCTCCATTTTACCAAACGAAACGGTAATCACCTGAATTGAAACAGAAAAAAATTCACTAAATGTCAAAAAACTAATTTACAGATATACAGTTTCATCAGAATTTTTTTACTTTACCTAGTTATTTGTTCAGAAAGCTGTAAATTTGGATATGAGCTTTTATTTCGATAGTTTTTATTTCTACCTTTCCTTCTCCAGTAACCAAAGCTATCGTTTCATTTCTTCCATCACATCTCACTTCCAAATATTCACGATCATTTAGATCAATCTTTCTGCAAAAGAACATCCTTCCAAAACATTTTTTTGTAAAAAAGGCATTCAGACAAAAAGGCAAAAATGATCTCCTCTATCCAATTCTTTTTCATATTAAAAAGAGTGTGAAGTTTAAAAGTTTTGTAATTTTGGAGAAGAATTGGATAGAGGAGATCATTTTTCGTCTAACGATATTAAAAACATGTATTAGGTTGATGCAAAAGTCTTTTCATTTTTTCGTACTTCTGTTAAAAAGTAACAAATTCACCAATTAATCTATAGTTTGCCCTATAAAAAAAAGTGTTTTTTGTTCAATTTGCATCTTTTTAAATGAATTTCGGTTTACTTTCAAGCAAATTCGAGAGTGAAAAACGCCTTTTTCGTAAAAATCTATAAAAAACTCTACGGAAAAATTGGCTGAATGAATTTCTCTGAAATTTTGGCGAAATATCAAACGTTTTTTTCTCTATCTTTTATCTATTGACACGAAGATAGGTTTTCTTTAGCTAAGGTGTCTAAACCGCATCATCGAGTTAGCCCTTTTTGACTACCCGACTTCATACTCTCAAGAAAATCTAGGCATTAAATATTTTTAAACCCGTTTTAATGTTATTTTGCAGAAAAATAATTGGTTTTTCTAATGAAATCAACCGTAGTTTAATTGGTGCATTTGTTGGCTTGAAACGGCAGACGAAAAAAATGAAAAAGACTTTTGCATCAACCTAATAGATCGATACAGGATTTTGCCAGTTTTTTCTAGGCGAATAGCGAGGAGAGCTTGTTTAACTGACCAATAAATAAAGTAATGAAAAGTAAATAAAGAGAAAGTATCCAGATAAGTCTGCTTTTTGAGAAATGGATCTGTATCGGTAATGTATCTGTACCGAAGAGAGAACTGTCCTCCATGAAACCTTACTCTTTTCCCGCGGGCTGATAAACAAATGTTGAGCCAGCTTTTAAGAGTCTCACCTCAAATTTCCGGTACCCAACATTTCGATCCCTCCAATGAGAGTCTCTTTGGACAAACGCCTCTTTCACTCGTTTTTCACTGCACAATCTTCCTGACTTCGCTTTTCGACCATTCAACAAGGATTATTATAAATTGGAACTTTATAGTTTTAGCTACATCTGAAAATTAATGATCGAACCAATGAAAATTAATGATCCGGAAGTAAAAGGTTAAAGGTTTAATCAAAATTTTGAATCAAAATCAAAACTCCAAAGTGGAAGGATTGATAAAATATTGATCAAAATTTTTGCAATGGCAAGCAGCTTTGTCCCAACTTTTAAGACTTTATTCACTCACCTCCATTGGAGGAAGACAATGAAGGCGGCAAATCTTCAAAGTATAAATCGTTGGCTAAAAGATATTTATAGGGGAGTCAGGGTGCTTTTTTGCTTCTTGGGAATCATGAAGTACCTGAATTGAACAGGCATTGAATTGCAACGAAACCTGAATTAAATGATGGAAATTTCGTTCCTGAACGAGCCGGATCTCAAGTCAATACTTGGAATAAGGTAGAATGCAGCAAAGTCTCCTTTCTTTCACAGAGGAGTCAACTTTTCTTCACTAATCCTATGTCCATACTGGAGCCTCAACAATAATGAAGAAGGAAATGTGGTAACCCAAGCGAAACATTCAAATGCGGAAGAGACGCGAGAAAATAGGAAATAAATTTGAAAAACCTTTATTGTGTTGTTGAAATTTCAGCCAAAACAATATCGGAGGAGGGGAAAACGTAATGATGCTTCTCTTTTTGTCTCGTACTTTTGGAAACTCGATTGAGAAATGGAATCAAAAAAGGAAGCAAACTCTCCTGGTTTTTAAAAAGCTCTATTATTGGCTTCTATTAGGTTGGCTTAGCTTTTTTACCAAATCTTGATAACCACCATACCATAGTGTAAATCAAATATAAATCGACCAAAAAAACAAACTTTAACAAAAATTAACCCACTAATTGTAAAATGCAAACTTTCAATGAGTTTTTGCAATCTCAATCAAATATCAAATATGCAATCTCAATCGAAACGTGGTCGATGTCGCGACAAGCCTTAATTTTGCCTGCATTTTTGGAAACCTCGATTAAGAAATGGATAAAAAGGGAAGTAAAATCCTCCCTGATTTTTAAAAAACCTTTTTATAGCTTAATAATTGCATAAAATAGAAAATCGTGACTTTATATGTTAAGAGAAAATTATGAATTTTAGATCTATTAGGTTAGCTTCTGGCTTTTTAAAAAAATCTCGATAACTGGTAGCAGACCATATACCGTCAAAAATTATAGACGGACCCTGTTTTTTGCTAGTTTAGGTTGGATATAAGTGCTAGTCCAGTCCAAAGTATGAGGGGAGCTTTTTTAATGTAAAAACAACCATGCAAATTTCTGTTTCACTCATCCAAAGTACTTTATCGTACAAAAACGTTTTATCAGCTGTCAAAAAATTAGAGACGCACTTTTATTTTAGCAAGAAATTTGAGTATTGTGATCGTTTTGACAACGTTGTGCAAGAAGTTCAAGAGTGGCCGGAAGCTTCATCTCCTTGCGAACCTCTTTGAGTGATGTCAAGTCGTGTTGGAAAGACGTCTCAAAATTGCAAGGCTCGGTCTCGACCGGTCAACCTTTTCTCTCCGGCTCCCGTGTTTCTTTCTTCTTAGGAGTCATTTTGGTCTTGGAGATACGTGCGAATACACTTCTCAGAACGTCCGATGCGATGAGCAATGTCCGTGTTTGAGGACCAAGCGTAAAGGGGAGCCCATCGATACGCGCTTTTCCACCACATCCAGTTGTTTTCCAAGTGGCATATCTGAAAACAAAAAACATTTATAAACATAACTAATAAGCAAAAAATGAGAAAAAACTAATACAATTAAGCCGATAGAATAAATCGTCAAATAAAAGTGGTCTATAATTTTTTTGACAGCTGATAAAACGTTTTTTGTAAGGATAAAAGTACTTTGGATGAGTGAAATGACTTGAAATTTGCATGGGTTGTTTTTTACATTAAAGAAACTCAAAAATACTTTGGACTGGACTAGCACTTATATCCGGCTCCCAAACTAGCAAAAAACAGGTGCGTCTATAATTTTTAAACAGAGTGTAGTAAATCAAATATAAATAGATCAATCTCAATCAAATATTTAGACTATCCATTCCAATGTCTGCAGGAAAACCTTTTGTGCAATCCATGTTTTCTAATCGTGTCTTCTTTGATGCCAGGTTGTATTCAATCATTTTATACTGGATCTTCTATTTGAAATCCCCAAAGTCCTTTGATGAATGTCCACAGATCTGGCTGATGCCTGTTGAAATGCTGTCGGATGTGTGGTATTTCAACGAAACAACAATGAGCGATCCTTGAGCTCATTGTTGTTTCGTTTCGGGATCCTTCGCAAACAGCGGGCAAAGAGACTATCGACTTTGTTACTGAAAAAAGTAAACAAAAATGTTGCGAAACTTATAAACTTATATCAGCGCTGAAAATAGAGTCATTTTCGCCTTTTTCTGTCGATGTAAAATCTATGATTGGCGCTTTTTTAGGGGCTTCTGGGAGAGCATTGAAAGAGAGATCACGCAAAGACCAACAAACGATTTACGTGATTATCTGGGCTGTGACCTTCCGCTTATTCATTATGCTCTCAAAACGGAGAATACCTTACTGATTAATCTTTGCTTCATTGAGTTTTTTCGGAATAAATAGGCTTAGGCTCAATATATTAGGTTGGGTAAAAAAGAAATGTGAGCGTCGTGTTTGTGATTTTTATTTATTCACAGTAAAAGATTTTTTTGGGCCAGTTTGGTCTATTGAAAAGCGCAGCCTAAAAGTAATTGATTATTTGATATATAATTTGTCTATGTTTACTTTGTTTTTACAAGAAAGAGTGTTTAGGGAAAATGTCGGACCAAAAATTTCGCTTGCGGGCCTGCTTTGTGGTATGAATCGCAAGGTAAAACTAATGCTGAAGCTCATCGCGCTCTATCTCAAGTGTTTGACAAAGATGCTCTATCGGAAAGTCAGTGTAAACGATGGTTCCATACTCGAGACGGCGACGAAAAGCTTGGAAGACCAAAAACACGGGAGTTGACCTCAAATCAAAAACAAAGACGTATTGAAGGAAGCCATTGAGTCGGATCCACGCCAAACCACTCGCGACCTGGCAGAACAGTTCGGCTGCACTCATGTCACGGATGAGAACCATTCGCGCGGCATGCGCGCAAAACGAATAGATAAGCTATCCTGGACGCAACAACAAGGCGGCAAATCGCAATCGCCGAAATTCCTACACAACGCGCCAAGAACAGTGGGTTTTTCGACTCCATTGTTACGTCGGATGAGAAGTGGATCCAATACGACAACACAGCAAGAAAGCGGCAGTGGTTGGACCCGGGTGAAGCTCCAAAACCGATTCCAAAACCGGACACCCAGGGAGAAAAGGTGATGCTTTGTGTTTGGTGGAACAGTAAAGGCCTGGTGTACTTTGAGGTTTTGATTCGGGTCAAACAGTTACGGCGAACCTCTACCAAGGCCAATTGACCGCGTCGACCAGGCGTTGT